ATGCATAATAACATGTACACAATGAATCTTTCTCGCAAATAAAACAAGGATGAGCCAGTTATCAAAAAAAAAAAAAATAAAAAAAAAAAAATAAAACAAGATTAAGCCAGTATTATAAAAAAAAAAAAAATTGCAATCAGAATAAAATATTTCAATTAGATATAAAACAAAATTTAAACAATAAAAATATTATTTATTAACTTTAGATTGATTGAATTTTTAATATAAACTTTATATTGCAATCTTGTATTAATAATATGAATTTTTTAAAAAGATTTGCATAACAAATCGTGTGACAGATGAAAGTAATTGTGGCTTTTCCAGGTTAGTTTATCACTTGATAATTAGAAATCGGTATATATTCAAAAAAAAAGCAAGCTTTTAAGTCGCAGCCTTCACAAGAATGTTCAAAAAAAATTCCGAAAAGGGAGTAGGAAATTGGGGGCCACGACAAGACCCAAATTCCAACATAGGAAAAAACGAATGGGCTGCACTTCGTCGCCGTTATGAGTGGGATGATTCATATGATGAGGATAGTATTGCTCCTAGAGATATGGATTTAGAGCAAGAGTTGTTTGGAGAAGAAAATCATGTGAACACCGGAATAAATTTTTCTAAATATGACAACATCAAAGTAAGCGTAAACAGTTCCGGTGGAAATCAAGTAAAGCATATACGTACGGTAATTATTGAGCGAAACATTGAAACAATTTCGTGTTTGATGTCTCGGAAGCGTTGTAATGAAGAACTCATTTTTCAGTTCGAGGAAGCAAATCTTCATGAAATTATGAAGGAAAACATTAAATTAGCCAAATATACAGTACCGACACCGGTACAGGTAAAGTATCAATTATAGGGGAGATGAATGTTATCACTGATTTTATCTTATCATCTTCTGCAATATATTTCAGAAATATTCAATTCCGATCATCACGGATAAAAATGATCTTATGGCATGCGCACAAACCGGTAATTCATCTATTTGCCCCAATTTTTTAATCGTCACCATGTATGCGGCTTTTCTGATCTTGCCTTTCCTTAACAGGGTCGGGCAAGACGGCAGCATTTCTTATACCGGTGTTATCACATCTTTTCGGAAAGGGGAAAAGGTTTGGGTCCTCTAGACCACAACCTGGTCAACGTAAGATGAAATCAGAGCCTTTCGTCTTAATACTGGCGCCCACGCGTGAATTGGCGACTCAAATTTTTGACGAATGCCGTAGATTCACTTACAGAAGCATGATGAGACCATGGCACGTAGGCAAAAAAATTTTTGATAACACTTGCCCTTTCTCTTTATTCATTTATCATGTTATTTTTATGTAATTTAGCGTAGTGTACGGTGGAGCAGACGCGGCTCCACAAAAAAGTGAGTTGGCAAAAGGCTGTGACGTGCTAACTGCGACACCGGGTCGACTAAATGATTTTTTGGAGAGGGGTATTGTTAGTCTTCGAAGAGTCAAGTAAGCTACTCATAATAACCTAAAAAGTATTATATATAGTTTTAATATCATCGAAATATTTTGCCGCAGGTTTCTTGTGCTCGATGAGGCAGATCGAATGTTGGAGATGGGTTTCGAGGATGATATTAGGAAAATTGTGCAGAAGTCGGGTAATTTAGTTATTTAATTGGTTGATTGACTATACTCTAATTGAGCTTTCACACACTCTTGTTATTTGCTAGATCTTCTGGATGACGGTACTCGACAGACTTTGATGTTTTCGGCAACTTTTCCGAGAAAAATCCAAAATCTTGCTAAAGACTTTTTGAAGCCGAATTATATGTTTCTCACAGTTGGCCGTGTTGGTGGCACCACAAGTGATATCACCCAGAAGGTATCAGCAAAAAAATTGATGTCTCGTTGTAAGAGTTACATTACTCGTTATTCAAAAGTTGGACCTTTTTGTTGCATTATAGATAAAGTATGTTGAAGACAAAGAAAAAAGAAATCAACTTGTTGAATTGCTTTTGCAACAACCTCCTTCTCGGACGGTGATCTTCGTTAGTTCGAAACGTGGTGCGGACTCCCTTGATGATTTTCTTTATAATCAAGGATTTCCCAGCACGAGTATTCATGGTGATCGCAGCCAAAGAGAGAGGGAGGATGCGCTAATTTCTTTCAAGTAAATAATTATACGTGAAAGTGAAGACATCGGATTCTTTTCTTTGACGTTCATCCAAGTAATTGAAACTATATTTCTAGGAATGGTAAATCTCCAATTTTAGTTGCTACGGCCGTCGCAGCTCGGGGGCTCGATATAAAAAACGTAATGCACGTTATCAATTATGATTTGTGCGACGAAATAGACGAATATGTCCATAGAATCGGCAGGTAATTTAAGATTGACAAGTTTACTGTTTGCGAGCTTTTTGTCATCAACAGTTTTCATTATTCAGGACTGCGCGTGTGGGAAATAAGGGATTGGCGACTAGTTTTTATAACGAAAAAAACTCGAATATTGCTAGCGACCTGGTGAAAATCCTTTTGGAATGTAATCAGGACATTCCAGACTTTTTAAAACAATATTCCAATGACATGTAAGCAATTAATTAAAGGCTGTATGTAATATATTATTCGAAAAAAAAAAAAATAATAATAATAAAATCTTTTACGTATGCCGGAAGATTATATGACGAAGATGACGAACGCGAAATGGAGAGAGAGAGCCACATAGGAGGATCTAGTACTCGGGGTGATCAAAATCAAAACCCTTCCTGGAATGCCACGCAAATTCGGCCTCAATGGGATCAGCAGTTACCTTCAAAGGGGGCATATCAAGATCTGATGGTATCTAATGTCCTTGTTTGTATCCTTCTTCTGGTAACCTTAACTTCACTCACCATCACCACCTATTTCCGGGAAACAGCAAGGTTCATATTCACAAGATGACCCACGATATTCACCACACTTCGAACATAGATCACCCGTAGTTAATCTCCCAAAGACGAATAATCAATTTCATTCAGCGCAACCGCCGTCAGAACCTTTTGGATATAATTCACCGCGGAATTACCAACCTGATTTCACGGGCAATTACCGCAATCCTCAACACAATATCAGAAATGATTCTGAGTACTATAAGAACAATAACAATATTGATTTCGGTGATAACAGGTTTGCATTTACGAATAATAATTTCGCGATTATTGTATTTCATCTTATTTGTTCTAAATATTAAAAAAAAGGAGCCGGCCTTCTAATATTAGTGGTGAGGTGCCATTGCCCGGTAGTGATAATTGGGGAGCTTCTTCAGGCAGCACGCAATCTAAACAAAGAGACTGGGATCCAAATTCAACACCATGGCAAAAATGATTATGGATCTTTTCTCATAATTTCAGTCGTGTAAGTTACGTGATTCGGACAATTCTTTAAAATTTATTATTGCACTATGCGTCGTGTGGGTCTTCATTTTGGTTACATTCATTCATCCATTTTTTTTACTTGTTTTATTTTAGCTCATTATTTTTCTTTTATGTGTATTATTATTTAAGCAATGGTCGTATGCACCAAATGAATTACATAGAGAAGAAACCTAGCAAATATATTACGTAAAACAAAAGTGTCGATTTTTTTTATATCAAATTTTCTCGATAAACCATTGGTGGAGGTTACACGTGAACTAGAATTTTTTCACTTATTATAGTCTACTTTTTTTCATTGGCCTCTCTAAAAAAATGTCCGGATATGATTTCCAAACCTTGAAAATAACATTGCCCGTACAATCCGTCATTCACGTAGAATTGAATAGACCAAAAAAATTGAACACATTCGACCAAATGTAGGAATTTTCATCGTTGCTCTATGCATCCTATCCGGGTTCTTTATTTAACCTAACCTCGAACCCTTAGTTTGTGGAAAGAATTGGGAGAATGCTTTGCGAGGATCGGGACTGACCCTGCGGTCAGGGCTGTTGTGATTTCGGGAGCCGGAAGACTTTTCACAGCTGGAATCGACTGTATACCTTACACTTTACTTTATGTTTGTTATTGAACGCGATCAATGCCTCTTAAAAAAAAAAAAAAAAAAAATTTTTTCAAAGGTAGTCTCATTTTTAAAAGGGGTTGGTAAAGCGGAGGATGACGATATTGCTCGAAAACTGCTTCAAGTGCGCCGTGGCCTCAAAGTAAGCACCATGCTCAATCGAGTAACATTGTTGCACCTCGTTTATCCATCTATTCCTTGTTTCCTTCAAATAGTCATGTCAAGAGTCCATAAGCATGATAGAAACCTGTGACAAGCCTGTTGTGGCAGTGGTTCATAACGCTTGTATTGGCGCCGGCGTTGATTTGATCACGGCTTGTGATATCCGATATTGTACGCAGGATGCATATTTTAGTGTTAAGGAAGGTTGATTTAAAGTTTGAGATATCTTAAATTGCTGCGAGATGATTCGATTAGTTTTTTTTTTTTTTTCTCGACTGGTTATAGGAAGTTGACGTCGGAATGGCGGCCGACGTGGGTAAGCAAATTCAACGATCAAAAAAAAAAAAGGGAGATACACCAAATTTTTTTACGCCGAAAATTTCGATCGATCAGGGACGCTGCAACGTTTGCCTAGAATTGTGGGTAATGATAGCCTTGCCCGCGAATTATGTCTCACAGGACGCAAGTGAGTACTTTCCGATCCCAATATTTAATTTAATGTTCTACGCTAAATATCATACATAAATTTATGTAGGTGCTTTGCCGTTGAAGCACTTAATTTTGGTCTGGTCAACAAAGTTCTAGAAACAAAGGAGGAGGCTTTGAGTAATTAGTTCTTTATTGGTTTTTAATGATTTTGGTATCTTTGGTTATACTCTTCTTTGACACTGCAACTGCTAGCCGAAGCTATCAAGACGGCAGAAATTATTGCGTCCAAGTCACCTGTTGCGACGCTCGGAACGAAGTAAACCCAATTTTTTTTTTTATTTCAGAGATTTTTCATAGAGTCCCGAATTTGAAATTATTATTATTATTTTTTTTCTAGGCATCTCTTAAATTATTCTCGCGATCATTCCATCCGAGAGGGACTCGAGTATACTGCAGTATGGAATGGGGCGATGCTCAATAGCAAGGTTCGTGGAAAGCACACCTCGAGTGAACGAAAGGTTATTCCCCACAATTGATCAATCATTCTCTCATTCAGGATCTTGTTGAAGCTATTAATGCTTCCATTAAAAAAGAGAAACCAACCTTTTCCAAGTTATGATTAGCCTTTTGTAGTCTCTTTCCCATCTCTGGATTCTGTGCATTTGTGACTGGTGAGTATGTTGATGATGTCGACGCCACACAACTATTTTAGTCCAAAAAAAAAAAAAAATATCGAACGATTAGTTTATTTTTACGCCATATTTATTATTTAAAGTTTACAAAGAAAAAATCTAAAAAAACAATACGGGAAAGTAATTTATCATTAAGTGATCTTCAAAATTGTTTATGAATGATATCTAAACATCGTTTTTGAAAAGAATTTTTTTGGGGGGAAGGGTTGATAATATGCCAATGATGTTTGTGAGCAAGAATCCATCACCGCTACCTTTCAAATGCAGAAATAAATTTAGAGCAAAATTCACTTATCATAAAAATACTATCCATATATATGAATTATTGTTTGAATTGAAATGAAACATCTTTTTTTTTTTTTCTTAAAAGAAGAAAATACATGTATAAAAAAAAAAAAAAAATAGGGGATTCTTATTATGTGTACAGGAGAATATCGAATTACGCTTAACTGGGGATTTTACCATATTTACGATATCACTTAATGAACATTAGAAGCTTTTTTTTTTTTTTTTCAATGTAAGTCATGAAGACCGTCGTCACCATCTGGACTAGTGTCGTGAATCCTCTGCCTAATGTTGTTGTCTCGGTCTCGACTGATATCGTTTTCACCTTCGCCACCCTCGGAAATATCGCCACCAGCGCCTTCGGGTTCGGATGCCACTGATTCATCGATATCACCAACGGTTGCCACTGTTTGCGGCACATTTTGTTCGCCGACATCTACGAGGGCGGCGGCGGCGGCACGACGGCTTTGGTTAGTCATCCAGTGGTTGAGGTAATTCTTCAACTCTTTGACACCCTTGCCGCTGAAAACGCAAAAAACTTGCCTCTGATGAATGGTAAATTCCTTTGGCGGTTGCCTGCAATAACGTTGTACATCCTGCCTCAGAAATGCCGGAACTCCGGTAAGTGATAGATGCGTCAAGCGATAACAAAAATTGACCAGATCTAATACAGCCGCAATAGTGAGGTTGACGCAGTATGACAAGTGAACGCGTTCGAGTGTGTAGGCTACCACGCGATTTCCGATCAATGAGTAGATGGCTTGATCCGTTATGAGAGCACACTTGACCAAACCGATTCGACGTAGTTTTTGCAGATTGGAAAGTTCAAAGACGGACGAATCTGTGAGCTGATTGCAGCATGCCAAGTCGAGATATCTCAGGCGGTTACAATAACGAGCCAGGTGAGTTATTGAGTGGTCGGTGATTCGCCAACAGTGACCCAGGTGAAGGTAGTGCAAGTGTCGTCCCAATTTTGTAATGTGGTAAACCCCTTCGTCTGTGATATTCCCGCATTTGGCCAAGACGAGATTACGTAGTTTTGGCGCGCTGTGCACAATTGTGTAAATCGTCCGGTCGGTGATGAGTGCGCACGATGCAAGATCAAGAACGCGTAGTTGTTCGAACATGGATGGTATCGTTTTTATAAATGAGTCGTCCGTTAGATTGGCGCAGCAGGCAAGACGAAGTTCTCGTAGTTGCGTGCAATTCTCGAAGACGGGTTGAATGGCTTTGTTGGTTATCTGGTGACAATTGGTGAGGTCAAGTTCGAGCAGATGTTGGCAATTCTCGGCCAAAACTATTACAGATTCGTCGGTGATATTTTCACAACTACTCAGTTTGATCTATAATATAATGGCGAGTGCATCGGAAAAAAGAAAACACACGTTGATGTTAAAATGAAATCTATTGTCGTGAGATTATAAAGGCCAAAACCTGGAAATCGAAGTGTGATCGACTATCTAAAGAATCGGCTTGGCAATTAATAATAAATGCAATTTATTTTTGTCAAATGACCTATCCGCAAATGAGGTCATTCGATTACCTACCCGCCTTAAGCTTCTACATCTCGATGCGACCTCTATGATCCCCGCGTCGGTGACTCCTTTGCATAAGCTCACGTTCAATCCTTGCAAACGTCTGCACCGTTCACCCACCAGCTTTATTACCTTATCCGTCAGATTCTCAATGTCCGACACATCCAAAGCCACTAACCCATCTGTTTTTTCCAATAATTTTAAAAGTCCCGCATCGGTCAACCTCCTGCATCCGCCGAGGGTAAGTCTCTCCAATCTCTCGCAAGAACTTAATCGGGCAAGTGTCGTGTCGCCTACACTTTCTCCCATGAAGGAAAAGTTCAGACGGCGGATGAGAAGAGAGTATGAGAAGGTTTGGGGTGTACTCTGTAAAGTGTCTAGTAGGTTTTGAAGAGACACGTCGCTACTGAAAACCGGCTTATGCCACAATAATTCAACACCGCACCGACACCAAGACTTGCATACTAGAATACAGGACTTAAGGTCTGCATTTGAGCTGACATATTTAAAAATCTGAAGGATTAACTCGGAAGGTATTGTAGCAGCCTTGGCTAATGAATTTGATGTGGACGGGGAAGGTTGAGTTTGTTTTATTGTTAACTGTCCAGCAAAGTGTTTCTCGGAACTCATAGTGAAAATACTTTGATTCAGAATTTTTTCGTGGATTTATATTCGTCTCAAATTGAACATCCTGCAAATGGCAATAAAAAATTTGAATGAGAAGGTAACGCTGTTGAGATCAAACGCAATAAAAGCTTAAAAAAAAAAATCTGGAAAAAAATTTTTTTTTTTTTTTTAATAATAGTACCAAAAAAAAGTACCTAAAGGCAAAAGAGGCGAAGTAGCACTTTAATCGATAATAATGGGTTGTAACCTGAAAATGGCAAGAACGTATGTGTCGCAAGTAAAGAGAATGGCTCGATCACATGATGCACTGATAAGTACCGGAAAAAGTAGTATATATTTTAAAAAAAATTTATATTTTAAATTAATATTGAAATGCGGTAATAAATAATTATTATAAATTTTATCTATTAATTAATTAAATAATATGCAGGGAATCAAAATACTTTTATCATGTGAAAAGGATTGGCTAAGAATCGATACATCACGTGATAAAACATATAAACGATTACGTTAGATGCGACGACATGTCATATCAAGTGTTAGCATATAGGACGCGTGGAAAGGCGAGTATCTTTGTAAGGTCTGACAGTTTTGTTCGCCGGCATGAAAGTTCAACGAAAAACAAAAGGCTCCTCTCCTCCAGTAGTTATGACGCAGACAACTCGTCGAAAATCGAGTCGGCTCTCCTCGATCAATAACCCGAATTCGGAAGTGGAACAATTCAATCTTTCAATTACAAGTGGATGTTCCACTTCATTATCTACGAATAATCGGACTCAACCGAATTTGACCCGCAGCGTTACCTTACCAAACTTGAATATTGATCATGGTAATGCACAGAATGCAGAAGCATTTGATGACAATTCCATAAATTCTTCCGAAGACAATTATTCAAACATAATCTTCAACCATTCTGAAGGTTCCTCTTTTGGTCAATCACGGCAATCTTCCGTCTTATCTGTTTCAAGAGACGCATCATTCTACGGCGCGGAATTTGTGCGCAGCGAGTCACGTAGTTCCACTCCCTTAATACTCTCGGAAATATCGAGTCTGCAATCAGATATTTCTTCGGGTCTTCCTTCGAGATCATCATCAGCATATCAATCAGCATTTATATCCGCCGATCAGTCGTTCGCTTTTCACGACGATCCCAATGTGTCCAGGGATAATATTAAATTTGATGGCGACTCGGGGATTCAGCCCGGCTCATCCTGTTTAATCGAAGACACCGAAATAAACTCTGAAAACGAAGAAAATACGGAGCAAACACGAAGTGAAGATCAAAGTCAGGAAGAGATCCGAGGTTTTGTCTTCGAGTATATTCCACGAGTTTGGGGTACCATCGAGGAACTATGGAACGCATTAGTTTGGTGGCTATCAGGGATGGAGTCAAATTACATTGAACCTCTGAGAAATAGAGTTTTGAATTTCAACGTCATTAGGTTAATGTGTAACAATTCTCGAAGGAATAACCCAAGTGATCTCGGAATTTGGCTTGGCGTGCTAATAGTGGGCGTCTTACTAGTAGCCGTCATACTGGGATTGACATTTTTTTATGTCGGGAAGTCATCACCGGAGGTCATAAGCTTAGACGTGAGCAGCGGTAGTCACGAACTTGGACAAAATGATGAGCTTATTAAGGCGGTTGTTGCGAATCAGGTCAGAACGTTGTGCGCAGCCGAGGTTCAGAAAAGGATTCCGTCGACAAATCAAGAGATGACCAGGTATCGATCGAACGCGGTACCTGATGAAAATGTAGTGGTCATGGTGCGGCAGGAGGTTCAGAAAGCTGTGGAGGAAATGTTGTACACATACTCCCAAGATAAGCTAAACAAAGCTGACTTCGCACTTTCTTCGGGCGGTGCAAAGATCATAAGTCGATTAACGTCACCGACCTACGAACAATGGCCAACACAATGGTACAAAGTGTTACTGGCTTCCACCATTGGCCATGGCATCACGAGGGGTAAACCTCCGGTTACAGCCATTCAACCAGATACTCACGTTGGACAGTGTTGGCCTTTTTCCGGCCAGCAAGGGCAATTGGCTGTACTATTAAGCAGACAAGTGTATGTAACTGCAGTAACCTATGACCACATCAGCAAGAAGGTTGCGATGGGCACAACTAGCGCGCCCAAAGAAATTGAGGTTTGGGGATTCGTCGATGGCGATCCGAATGTGAAGGACACAAGAACTGACACGTTCCCGGAATCTATAAACGGGAACACTATTAACGAACCGGGTTCGAATATATTGGACTCAAATCATTTGCGCACTAAGAATAGAGAACTTAAGCTTGGCTCGTCACCGAGTCACATATTCTTGGGCCAGTTTGTTTATGATATTAATGGTTCACCAATACAGACTTTCGAGGTGAACAAAATCAACAAACCTATACGAGCTGTAATTTTAAAGGTGAATAGTAATTGGGATAATCCGGAGTACACTTGTCTATATCGATTCCGCGTTCATGGCGAACGTTCCGACGCTCAAAACTAACGGCCAAGGTAATCGATTTTATTCTGTTTTTAACGTAAAAAAAAAAAAAAAAGAAAGAAAAGAGAAGGAATGAATGATTACTAAAAAAGCGTGAATGTCCACCCGCCAAGTCAATACCACACAATCGATATTCATGATTATGTAAATTGCTATTGTCATGGTTTGGAAAGAGCGTCTGCATTATATGCCAGAATTACAGCGATCTGATTGATTTTTCACTTACCCAATTAATGTCCTAGGAACGCCTGTAGCAACACGGCAGTTGCTGCGTTAACATTCAAAGAATCTATATATCTCGATTTCGCCTTATTGTAAGATGGGATGTAGAGCATGTGGCTACAGATACTTGCGACATTCGAACGGAGTCCTGCGCCTAAGTAAGTTAAATAGGATTGCGAGGGTTAAGCACTAAATGTAATTCGTGGCAAAACTTTGTAATAAATAAAAGGGGTTTGATTTAAACTATATGAATTTTTACCTTCGCTTCCAATTACCAATATCGCCGGGTGTTGAGTCAACGGTTGGCTCAAGTCGTTTACAGAAATCAGATTGCTCGAGTTTTCGTTGTTGCAGTTGTTAACGGCGACAGTGCCATATGTGACCCATCCATTTTTCGAAGAATTCTGTTCATCCGAAAAAATTCTTAGCAAACACGTGGTCACCACCAATTCGAATTAAAGTGCACTTATTCCCTACATTTAAAAATTTTGCAAGGTCATCGACATCGTACACGTCCATGATCTCGAGGGCACCTGAACTTGCTTTTGCTGTCACTGCCGACAAAGGCGCGCTGTTCGGTCGGTTAATACTTTTTAGCGATAAATAAACATTTACAAAGTTCAAAAAAGAAGCGAAAAAGAGAAATCAGGTTCACCTGTTCTTTGTACAGATGACAATTCCGTTGACCCCGTAGAAATGTGCGGACCTATACGGGAAAAAAAAAAAGATCAAAATCCCTGGTCAAACATACTAATAAAAAAAAAAAAACAAAAAACAAAGGGAAGACCATACCTCATGATGGCACCTAGGTTCTACATATTTTCAATTTTTTGATTTCTTCACGTCCGGAAGGAAAAAAATCTTTTTTTTTTTTTTTTAAACGTGATGTTAAACTGACCTGTGGATCTACCACTTGATCCAGTGCGAGCCAAAGAGGCCATTTTCCATTTGAAGAAATATCCATATTGACCAGTGACTCATCGGATTGGATGACTGAATAACTTTTTCATTATTTTTATGAGTTGCATCCATCGAACCAAAAGAATTGGAGTCAATCTATGATGTACCTCTTGTTGGTGGTCTTTCCAAGGCACGTAAGAGTTGAAGGTGTAATCCGTGAGGCCTTTAGGACCACACCCTATGGGATAAAATGATGCGTTGTTTTTCCTTTAAAAATTAAGTTGCGTATTTACAATTACAATGTTACCTGATGCGGTCGGTTCTCTACTAACTCGTTCAATTCCCCTTTGGTTGCCTTCACGATTGGTACCTTGGCCTCATTCGCCAGGGCAACAATATTATCCGGAGAAATCCTGACGTTTAAAAGTTAATTTCGACAATATTCAGAAGAGTTCCGGTCACGCGAAAAGTCATCTGTTTAACTACCCGGATTTTTTCCTACGGGAATCAATTATATCTTGGTAAAACAAACGATAGAGTTTGCGACGTCTCAGTTCAAGCGCCGGTATGACCACGGATAGACCATAAAGGAAATCGATGAGCTCATCCTTCCTACTTCTTTTGAAGCAACAATAATAATGACAATAATAAAAGAGGTAAATCTTGGCATCGGGTGTTAAAAGCGAGATTACAGCCGAGGAAAGTCTACCTGCGCGAAAAGCGGCAGAGACCCTTTTGCTTAATGCCAGGTGCCGTCACAAAATTTTTGGTCTTTTCTAATCAAAAAACTGACATCTCAGAATTCAGTTACGGGCAAACTAGAAGCGCGCCTTGATGATTACCCGCTGTGGCTTTAATGAGAGAAATTTTGTTAAGGTTTCCATGTGAGAGGGAAGTTTGACGAATGAACATGAGCATGAACGGTTGATACATTTTTTTGTAAGGCGAGTATCCGTCACTTAAATACTTTCATCACTTGTGTTACCCTGCGAATGGATGATGCTGCATAAGTTGTATACGTATTAACGGAAGTTTCTCGAATTGGTTCTCCGTCGAATACACGAACTCTGCAATTTGCAGCTGGTCACATGTTAACAATTCACCAGAGTATTAAAAAAGACGCGTCAATAGAACTAACCACGAATTTTGCAAATTTGAATTCTTACGTTTGTTTATTTGCTTCAAAGCGCCAAATGCTTTCCCCGTTATTGGAAACCTTTGAATCTCTTCTGCAAACGAACAACCTTCGGCAAGATGATTTGATTCAAATCATCCAAAAGATTAAAGAAACTATCTCGAATAATAATAATGATGATTGTGATCATTTGTTGCTTTCTCGAGCCTTGACTTTACTGGTCATATCCTACAAGCACATATGGATACTGTTGGTCTTGTGACCTAGCCGAAATCTTTGAGCTTTATCCCTAACTTCTTCCCATACTGCGCAATTCGCGCACCCTTCTCACTTTCTGCTAGGGCGCGGTCGGTTGATTGTTTCAGAGAGATGATGCGATTGAAGTGGCAGGAAATCATGGAATCAACGGAATTATTTGTATCAGGACTTCAAGCAGTACGCGTCCCGAATGCTTCTTATTATTACGTGAACGATCACATTCGATCACCTCCGTCATTCCTCGTCTAAAATTTTAGGTGCAATCGTTGTCCGAGAGCATTGAAACAGAATTATGTAAAGTCGCCAATGATATCGTCGACGACATCGATGGCATATCGACGATCATCAAAGTAATTAACTACCTGTCCTGTTACCGTGAGCCCTAATCACCATGCACAGAAGTAAATGGAATTTTGACACTTCACTCGTAGATCCATGTGTCATGTCTGCATTTGCTGGGCGACGTCTTGCAGATATTACGCAAAGGGACGAGCAGCTGTGGTGGTGACACCTTTATACCTATCGAATTCCTCATTAAGCGACGACAAGGATATGAATTAAACGCGCTCTCCAGTCTTTGTTCATGTGCTCTCAAAACAGTTTATTGTACATTTATGATCACCAAGGTTGGGAAATTCTTTTTCATTATTTGGAATAAAAAAAAAGCCATGTATTTACCCTTCTTTTTTTTCTTCTTTGCTACTCAACAGCTTCCGGCGATAGCACTCAAGTTTTCCAAGGATTGCGAGTCGCGGCAACTGATCTCTACGTGGTGCAAAGGGGCCCATGATGCGCTGGGCGATTTTCTAAAATTTATCGACGAGAATTTGTTGACATTTAAGAATGCCGAGCTCGAATTAAACGAAAAACTCGCGCTGAAAATTTCCGACGGTATGCTGGTCTGAAAATGCTGTCGTTCAAAGGTCAACTTTAAACGTCGCCCGCATAATTTTTTTCTTTGAAAAAGTTTGCAACGATCTTGTGCCGATAGTCGAAACGAGTGCAACAGATTACCCGACCCTCACTCTTGCTTGGAAATATCTAATAAAGCTATCGACCAAGTACAAAAGTGATATGCTCAAGAGTACTTTAAAGGTTTTTCCATTTCTATTTCTTTTATTTATTTATTTTTTTTTTTTGTGAATGTGCTTAATGTGCTTTTGAGTGGTGTGACGCGCCCGGTAATCGTATAATTCATGGTCTCATTCGCCAGTTGGATTCGATCGTATTTATTCTTTGTCGTGGCTTATCAGAGAACTACTCGAGGTTGATAAAATTCGTCATGTCCAAGGATTCCCTCGGGCAATCGCCTTCAAATAGCAAACAGTTCGACAAGATGTTGACAATTGTGAGATTTTACATTGCGCACTTGCTGAGTATCGTAAGGGCTTATGCAGAAGTCCTGCTGTGGGAAGCAAATCAAATCACTGTTCGGACTTTGCAAAGAACCCTAATCTTTCTCGCGAGGTGTGTAATGTTTCTGCGTGTATGTATGCGAGACAGATGAATCGCTGGCAAAGGGTGACTTTATTTTGTTTACTTAGTAAATTGTCGCCCAGTTGTCAAATCGGACACGGGATGCCTGCGCACATTAGTAACCTATTGAAAGATCGCGTGCTCCTTGTCGTCGACAACATCTTCCTTGCGTTATTGTTTGTAAACGGGGGCGCCATAAATGATGATTGTCGTTACAAGATGATATCTAATTTTTTCGACTGTGATCTTGATTCCGTGAATCGGAATCATCAGAGTCCACTTGAAACTATAGGAATCGATGAATTTACATTTGCGAAGATTCATTTCCTATCATTAACCCTCACCAACTTCGATGACATACCAATCTCGCTGCATTCAAAGCTATTGTCGTCGGATCCGAGGAAATCGCAAACCTTTTGCTTGCTGAGAATCTTTTTCGACACCATAGACGATTTTCCGGAATGTTTTTGGTCCACCCCGACGGTCACGTTCGACGCCGAAAGCTCTGATTCACCGCAAACCGTTGTTTCCGACCCGCAACCGCGACTCCTAGAGGACTCCCTCTACATCCATACGGTGGTTGTGTTTTGTACATTCGTGAACACATTACCACCCTCACTGTTTACACTATGCGAGTATTACATGCTGGAATTCTTGTTGATTTCTCAGAGTATTACCACTCACACATTAATAATCGATTTCTGGTGCTGCATCGGCAAATCGCTGACGAACCATGAACTATATCGGCAAGTTCAATTGATATCGGAAATCGTAAGTCAATCGCGTGATATTGACGCGTCCTCGACAGACGCTACGTACTTGACGATTTTTTTTATTTATTACAGATCCCGAAACTTTCCAACACACCCTCAATACGGCATCGATTGCAAAGACTTTCAGGACGTTTGATTCAATTTCTTGATCCAGAACAGGCGGTCGGGGGATGGTGTCTTTAAAATTTAATGTCACAGTTCTGCCAAAAAAAAAAAAAAACACTAATGGAACGTACCGAATTTCAGGCGAAGACGTCCGAGGAAGTTCTTCTTTTCTTGCCTGACAAGGATGCAACCCTTGTCGACAACGACGAAACTGAAATTCAAACGAAGGTTCGACAAGATTTGCATGATTTTGAGTGAGTTTATGAATACCGATACCTATACAAATGTACTTTAGAGGAGGATGTCCAGTTACACGCAAATGTGTTTGTGGATCAATATTTACGTTCAAAACATTCAGAAACTGTCGGCTGACGAAATATTTGCACTTGCAAGTATCGATTCTGTGCTTTTGTGAGAAATTCTTTGATCCGAGTTATTGAAATCATTTGTTCATTTCAGCATTTCATCATTTTGCAAGTTAAGAATCTTCTTTCAATGTGCAAAAATGACGACGGCGTTGTCGTCCAAACCAATTCTCTCAACCTTACGCATACGGCATTGGAGTTTTCAAAGAGTTGCTTGGATTCTCTGATCGGCTTGCAACCATCTTCACCAGAATTCAGAAAGGTAAAAATTGTAAAATTTTTTTATGACCAGCGATGATAACTTATTAAATCCTTTGCCAAAGATATTCGTGGCGATTAAAAATGTTCTCGGCCTTCTGGCGAACACGCGTACACTACCTGTCGAGGAAGTACAAGAGGTACGATAGATTTAAGTTCCACTCACGGAATTTACCGATGCCACTTGACTCATGATACCATTTGTGCGACACATTTACTCCCGGTTAAGAAAGACCCTTAGACTTGTGAACCTTTGGATTTCTTCACCAGCCTTGAGGAGATTTGCGTGTTGCTTTAATGTGTTTGACTTGGTTGAAAATTGTGCCGACGCATTTCTCCTGTCAGATGACAAGGTATCGTGGTTATTCGCACTCTTGCGCCAATGAAATTTTCAAGTCACGTTCACCACATTGATCGAATCATATAGCAAAGTTTGATTAGCATCTGCGAGAAATTATTTCAAAGTACTCATTGGTTGATAAACCACGAAGCGACCGCATTGATCGTTTGTCCTTTTTTTTTTTTTAATCACGGGAGTCGCGAGGTTATTTCAAAATGTGCGGTGTTCTAATTGATACTTCGTATTTAGGCGAATCTCGGTGTGGTTCAATTAGTGGCACCTGAAAGACGCGAGTCCATCAAGAGATCTACAAACCACCTGCCCTCTCACTTTAACAATGAACCCATGACCGTATGTATACCTCGACCATTTAATTAATTTGCACTCATTACATCACTCAGGTTCTGGATTTTATTCATTCGTTCCTATATTAGGAAATGGAATTCTGGCGATTTAATGGTAGCAGTGAAGTTAGAAAACCGTCAAAATTAATGGTCATGAGAAATTTGCTTAATTATGAGCCAACCTCCTTCTCGAGAATTGTACACTCGATGTTAAGTAAAATTGAAGACAGCAAGAAAAACTTTGTGACACAAGAGGAAGATTGTCTGAGCGGGGTCCGTTTAGTGCGGAGCTTTATTCAGGAGCGCACGGATAAATGTCGTCGGGCGGAGATTACCCTTGAGACAAGCAATGCGTTGTCAAGTTTGAGGGATCAATTGAATAATTTCTTCTGTCATAATTAGATCATTTGCGATGTTTTCATTTGTAATGCCTTCTCTACGCAGTAGATGGATGTTTAACTTATTTAGGAAAATCGAATTACATCATTAGTAATGATCAAGTTTAAGATCCCAACTTCAATTCATAAAAGTGAACGGCAATTTTAAAAAAAGATTGTTTTGTAACTTCTATTGAAATGGAAGGTGACAAGAAGTCTGATAAAGTGATCTCTAATAATGAAGACGATAAAGATAAATCTCCTTTATCTCGAGTTGGTGACTTTTTCAAGTCTGCGCTAGGATATGTTGGCATCGTGGAGATGCCGGGGAAGGAACAAGGTGTCAAAAATAATTTTTTTTTTCCGATATTACGGTACGGTATGCATATGTAAGCGGTCATCACTGAGATTCGAATGCCTCTCCAGGGGAAGCTCTCTCGCGTAAATGCTCTGAACCTAGTGAGGAGACGGTACGAAGATATGAGAATCCGTCGTATATTCGCGGGAACAAGGATGTGATCGTCGGGTCTATCAAAGTTGGTACTTCTGCCTTTGTTCACTTTCGGCAAATCGACCTTACAGTGCTGCGTATTCATTTACTGTAATTCAATACTTACGCAATACAGGGGAGGGTCGGAAAGATTGTGGGGAACGAAGAGATCGAAGAATCGGGTAAGAGACAACAGGCGAGAGGATCGCACGAAGTTGTTAACGCAAAATTACGAGATCAGCGAGACGATATGTACGACGATAACTTTTGATGCTCATTATTCCGGTTTCTTGTTGATGATGCACGGCAATGAAAATAGTTTAGATTTCAGAATAAGCTTTATTTATCATAAAGATCTACAATGTACGTACTGTACGTAAATATAATACGACATTGTGGTCATTCTGCTTATGACAACCGAAAATGGCTGCTCAACTTTATAAAACAACTTCGGGCCATTTATTTCACGCAGGAAGAATTGCCATAATCACAGTAGGGTAAACTTAGACACCCTGGCTATGCATCGTTAAAATTTTAAAATCAATGCTAAATAGTCACTATATTTGAATAAAAAAAAAAAAGATTGCCCGCCAGAGGGAAAACGCATGTCTCTCGTTCGTTGTGCAGATATCTTCGCTGGTTGGGCGTATCCACCAAAGTGTTTAGCTTAGGAAATTATCGTCGTAAGGTGTTGGGCACGGCGTCAAACTTGCCACCCGGTTTTTTTAGTCCCGGTGGGTTGCCTAAACCAATTTGATCTCTTTCGGTTAATTCACTTCAATGGTTGTCCGTTGGGGATTTCCTTTCTAAATGATTCGTCGATGTAGGAAACAAGGAAAGTGCCAAGGTGCGCCATGAAATCGCAGTTGAATGTTTAAATAGCATGATTGAGTGGCTAAAGGATGAGGGAGGTCAAGTTGGAATCTTTGACGCCAGCAATACAACCGAAGAAAGACGTAAAGGAGTGCACGATATATTGATCGCTCATGGGATTCAAGTGAGTGGTAGAATGACCGATGATGCTATGCACAGAGTATGTCGCCGATGTTTTAACCCGACCCGTATTGTTTGTTATGTTGCAACATGCAATATGATGTGACTCAGCCAGTTTTCATTGGTAATTGTCGAATCTACGGGATTCCTGGTGTTTTCCAAGTTCCCTTTGGCTAATGATTAAAATTCCCACGGTTAGAATCGATTTGCGATAAACCGACAATCATCGACAACAACATTCGAAGTGTAAAGATAACCTCGCCGGATGTATGAGATAAAATTTTCGTCTCGAATTCCATCATCCACTTTTTGCTGCTGTTTAAGAAAGAATTGAAAGGATCATCTACTCATTTTTCCTGTAGTACATTGGTTGGGATCCTGAGGAAGCCGTCAAGGATTATTGGGTATGAGGATTATAATTCAAAAAAATTCAACGTTACGAGAATTGCGTCTGTTGTGCGATGCTCAAAATTTCTTTCTTTCTTTCTTTTTTTTTTTTTTAATAAAAAAAAATCAATGATTCGTGTCTTCCACTCAACATTAAATTTACCAGACACGCATCACCAATCATCTTGAATTTTACCAAACGATAACCGACATGTCATTGAGCTTCGTCAAGATGATTAACGTTGGAGATCGCATCATCGTAAATAATGTGAAAGGATACCTTCAGGTAATTGAATTAGGAACAAAGTAAACACACGAAAAATTTTTTTGTCCAAATCATAACCATTTGCGATTTATTTCAGTCTCGTATCGTATTCTATTTGATGAACTTGCATATCAGTTCGAGGATCATATATTTTGCACGGGTACAATAGACGTTGACATGCTCGAATTAATTCTTGCGATATAACTATCCTGACGAACTTTTATCAAACAGACAGGGGAATCCTATAACGAAACGTCCAGTAAAGCCGATGCTGATTTAATTCCATCTGGCATTCAATATGCGCACAAATTAAAAAATTTTTTGTTGTCGTTGAGAGAGAAGGAGAAGAAAGAGCGAAAGGAACAGGGGTGGAGTGATGACGAAAGAACTTTGACGGTTGGTTGCATCAATGTTTCCGATATAACTTAATCCGTTGATTTTCACCGGCATCTGATTAACGCGGCTTTCATCATGATTCTCATATTCGCATGAAGATATGGACGTCTGCTAGGCAGAGTTCTGTTCAAATGGTAAAGCCTTTCAAGGAGGGAGGTTATAGTGTCAAGCAACGAACACTGTTGGCCGAGCTTAATCTTGGAGAGATAGATTCGCTGACCGACGAAGAGATTAAGGTAACGCCACGTGATTAACCCATTCGTCTAGTCATAAGTGAATAATATCATCCATATATATATATATATATATATATATTCATGATAAACAATAGAAAAAATTTCCCGAAGAATATGAACGGCATCAAAAAGACATGTATCATCACCGATATCCCATGGCTGAGGTACTCGAGCATCATAAAATTTAATCTTGAGATAGGCTTTTTTTTCTAACATGACAAGCCTCTTTACTATAGTCATATCATGATCTAGCTGTTCGTCTCGAATCTACGATTTTGGAGCTTGAACATGAAAGGAATGATGTGTTAATCATTGCACACGAGACGGTGTTGAAATGCTTGTATGCGTACCTGTTCGATCGACCCGAAGATGTAGGTTCACTCGTTGCGATGCATAATTAAAGAGTTTTTGTTTAACGGAGTCTTCTACTTGCGACAATAGGAAATACCCAGAATTGTTATTCCGCGAAATTATTTGATCGAGATAATTCCGTCGGCGTACGGGTGCCGCGAGACTCGGATGGAAATTATTGATTCGCTGAACAATCCTGTGCCAGTTTTGACTGCCGAGTTGCCAGTCAACATCGACAAATAATTATTGATCTGCAGAGAACTATTGGAAATGCCATTTAAAGTTTCTCTTATGCATATTCGATAAAATAGTTTGTTAGAAAAAATATATATATGTAGAACAATCAAATTTATTATGCTTTAAATTCTTGCTCAGATGATGATTTATTTATTAGCTAGATGATGGTGGCAAACCAGATTTAGATGGTGAGCCCTGGGAAGTAATTCATATATCAGTCACTACTATTACTACAACATCGTTTACCTATTTATTCATGGCTCAATCAATAAAGTAATATTATAATAAATGAATAAAAATAGAATAGATGAATAAATAAATTTGGTAAGGTCAAAGGTCATCATTCATTCACATCTACAGTGTCTGTCAGAAGCATGATGAGAACCGGGCATCCCAACATTTCTCTATCAATTTAACATGCATACAATATTCACAAGTTTTTTTTTTTTTTTACCTTGTTCTCATCCGATATAATTAAAATAGGTGGCAAGAATCTCGGAAATGAAAATTTTGTATTTATGATATTTGAAAACATGGGTTAAATTAGGAAGGTGTTATGTGCACTCCTTGCCCTTATTAAAAAAAAAGATTTATCTATGTTTTTGACTAGCAGCAATGTGATTGAGCGCACTTCCCATGTAAAACCATTCAATCTGATCCTCTGACATTGTGTGCTTGGTCAGTATGTCAAATTCCTCGACCTTATCACCATTCTTGGATTCTTTTCTAACCCTGATCTCTACGTTCTTACCAGGCGCCAATCCAACAACTCCAATGGTTGATATAAAATCTCCACCTGATAGCAAATTGTAATCATCCTCATTCACAAATACCAATGGTAGGACTCCTTGTTTCTTCAAATTAGTCTCATGTATTCTCGCAAATGATTTGGAAATTATCATTGGGCACCCGAGATACCGTACTTGTAATGCCGCGTGTTCTCGGGCAGATCCTTCGCCGTAGTTATGCTTTTGATTTGCAATTATTATATCGCTGAGAGGTGATGATTCAGAAAACTCATACGCATATCGTGAATGACGTAACTTACATCGGCTACCACGACCCATGAAACATTATTCTCCTTGTAGTGACGCGCGACTTCCGGTATTGTACCATCCTAAGGGAAAGCAAGGAGTCTGGGATCACACGGCAGGATTTTGAAAATACAATATTTTAACAACAAATACCTTGCCGGTCAATACATTTCTAACAACGTTGACCTTTTCATTATCAGCATTCAAAGCGCCAATCAAAGTATTATTCGAAATATTCTCCAAATGTCCTTTATATTTCAACCAAAGCCCCGCGGCTGATATGTGATCTGTTGTGCACTTGCCTTTCACTTTTACCAACACACGCAGATCATGAAATTCTCTGCCGGAAAATATCGGGAATGGCTCAAGCAGCTGAAGTCGACTGGAGTTCGGTGAAATTTCAATCTTGGCCGTCGGGTTGGCTATCGGCGGTGAAGGTGGCTCGTATGATCGTTCACCTGAAAAAGAATTGATGCATCATATTTCATCATTAATTTAGAATGTCAATGTGTACAGGGATATAGTAAGTACCCTTGGTAAATCCTTTAAGTGGCAACTCATCTCCATGGGGACTAGAAAATCGGAATGGTTCGCCATTCTTATCTGTCAAAGTATCTGTGATTGGGTTGAATGACAGTCTACCTGCAAAGGTCATCGCGGTGACAATCTAGGTTGCAGGTGAAGGCTTGGTTACTGGTGTACGCACATATTTTTTTCGATAAATTACCTCTGGGGAAGCCAAAAAATTCATTGTAGATGGATTTCCGTCGTTTCGATTCGTGAAATTCCGATTGTAAGATGTCAGTATCGCGTTAGGTTCGCCTTCTTTAATGTCAGTCCTATGCCACTATAAGATCGACCGCATAATTGGTCAATTACTTTAATTATATCGTTTTCTCCAAAAATCAAGTATCCTCTACCTGTCCTATACAGGGCCCACAGGCGTTGGCCAACATGCGACCACCAACTTTTTCCAAGATAGTGATCTGTTCATCTCTCTCCATGGTCGCCCGAATTTGCTCGCTACCTGGTGTGATGAAAAAATCGGCCTTCGGTTGTATACCCTTCTCGAGCGCCTGAGACGCCAAGCTAACCACACGACTCATGTCCTACATACATCCAGGATGAACCGCGTAAAATTAAAGGAAATACATTCTAAACCCTTTACGTAGTCTATTCTCCTAAGAAATGTCACCTGATAACTACTATTAGTGCAACTTCCTATTAATCCCGCCTTAATCTCATCTTTCCATCCATTCTTTTCGACAAAATCCGAGAATTTACTCAATGGCGTTGACAAGTCCGGTGTGAAGGGTCCATTGATATGAGGTTCAAGTTCCGATAAATCGATCTCTATAACTTTATCGTACTCGGCATCGGCATCGGCCTTTAGAAATGATGCATTCGACAATGCTTGTTTGGCGACAGGGTGACGTCTAGTTGCCGTTAAGTAAGAGTACATGCTGTGTGTAAACGGGAACACGGACGTAGTAGCCCCGACCTGAACATGCGATGAATGTAAATCATACGACAATGAGCGAAAATAGTTGGCCCATAATAATGCATCAACCAATGTACCTCTGCTCCCATGTTACATATCGTGGCCATCCCGGTGCATGACAGTGTTTCGATTCCTGTACCAAAATATTCGATGATATGGTTTGTTCCTCCCTACAAGTTTAATGCATATTATGAAATGCGTTACTCGGTCAAAATCTAAACCTGTGTGCTATGCAGGAAATACTTGATGATAGCCGACCCGAACAGTCAACTTTCCAGCTAGATGCAATATGACATCTTTTGGACTTGCCCATTCGTTCAGATGTCCTGTTAACCTCACACCAAGAATTTTGGGAGCTTTAAGCTCCCAGGGTATATCCGCCATAGCATCCACAGCATCCGCACCGCCAACTCCAATTGCTATCGTACCCAATCCGCCAGCATTCGGTGTGTGACTATCTATTTTGATGGTGTCATTCGTTAATCGATGAAATAGTTAAATATACAACACCGAGAATGTCATTTACCAGTTCCAAGCATAAGAATCCCGGGCGTAGCATAATTTTCTAAAACAATTTGATGAATAATTCCGCTGCCGGGTTTCCAAAACTCAATTCCATATTTATCAGCTGCGCTTTGTAAGAAATCAAAAATCTCTTTATTCGTGATTTCGGCAGTCTGAAAATTTATACCGAATACAATACGAAAAATGATGACTTCATCTTATCAGGTGATTTTGCACTATATCATAAAAGGGAATTAATTACCTTAACATCTTTATC